CTCCCAGACTCCAGCCCTCACCTTGACCCGCTCCAGCTGCTTGAGGACGTGCTCCCGCCGCCGCCCCGCTGCTCGCTTCCCCCCGGTTCCCCCGGGGCCGCCACCACCGCTCCCTGCCCCGCTATTCCGCTCCGATTTCGAGCTGGGCGCCATTTTCACCCCCTCCCTCCACTTCCGGAGCAACCGGCCGCTTCGACCTACCCCTACTGCCTCCTGATTGGTCTTTTTCAGGGACGGCCGCCCGCCGGTTGGACGAAGGCCTGAGCTCAGAGTCGCTTCCCGCTACGCTTGTCCATCAAAGCCGTCACGACTCTTGATTGGTAGCGATGGTAACAGCCCCTGCCGTCCATCGCTTTATTCCTGCCCACCATCAAGTATGAACCAGTCATAAGCTCCATTTGCTGTCCTTGTACAAATATCTTTGACCCGATAGACGAACATTCCTGTCTGTTTCAGCGTCGTCACTCCCTCCTGTGGCTGGTGGGTTTCCATGGAGACCGCAGGCGGTCCAGGCCTGTGGGAAGGACGATGGAAATCTGTGGTCCAGGAGGGCCAGAATCACCAGCGGGGGCTGCCCAGGCCTGGTGAGCAGAGGCCTGAAGAACATCCCTGGGCGGCCAGGCTGGGGCAAGGAAAGGGATTTGAAATAAACAACAGCAACAATAACAATAATGTTTTTGAAAAGGAATTCTATTAAAGCATCTTTCAGAGGGTAGGTTAGTGCAAAGATGATAGCTTCAATAAGGTATCGCTTAGCAGGGGTCTCACATGGCTCTGAGTTTACAATATCTATGCGCAGCTCCCTTTTCTGCCTATTATACCAATATGGGAATGAAAACAACTGTGGAATGTTGTGTATCAATATGTGCAGCAGTCTTGGAGATAGAGCCTTTGTTTTACATGTGAAACAAGTGTAAACTGTAGCTCTTCTGAAGACCTGACATTTATGGAGCAAAGATGCTGTTGAGTCATGTTCAGTGGATCTAGACTCTTTTTATGTTCAAAGACTTGGAGGAAGACAACCGATGAACGTACCAGTTTAATGTTTATTAAGCAAAAGGAGAGGAAAAGCAAAAAAGAAGAAAGAAAAGATGTGTCCTGCACACAGGACAGGCCACTTCAAGAACAAGAAGGCAGTGGTGAGGAAGCCAGAGGGCCCCATCTTTTATATCATGTGGGCTTCTCTCTGGCCACAAGCACTGTTACCTGGCACATAGCTGGACCTGGGACAGGGCAGGAATGAGAAAAAGGGAAATTAAGCAAAGAGGCCTGGGGAAATATTAGACTGGCAAAGAGTTATTTAACATTCAAGGCCCTGGGTTCCATCCTCAGCAACAAAAGGCAAAAAAAAAAAAAAAAAAAAAAACAAAAAAATTTAAAAAAAAAAAAAAAAAAAAAAAAAAAAAAAAAAAAAAAATAACTTTTTAGAAAGTCAAAATAAGATGTAATGGTTCATGCCTATAATCCCAGCACTCTGGAAGGCTGAGGCAGGAGGACTTCAAGTTTGAGCCCAGCCTGGGCAATGTAATAACTTAGCAAGACTCTGTCTCAAAATTTGAAAAGGGCTGGGGCTGTAGCTCATTGTGAGAATGTGAAGCTTAGTTATCATCCCCAGTACTAGGGAAAAAAACGTAAAAGAAACAGATTAGTTAGAGGAGGGAGTTTAGGGGTCTCATTTGTAAGTAAGGTATTTAGATTTTACTCTTAAGCATAGAATGAAGGTTTTGGTTTGTTTTTTTTGTTTTGTTTTGAGGTTTTCAGAGGAAAATGAGACTTCTGGGAAAATGGCAGAGTGGTGAACAGCAAGGACACAGCTCTTCTGAGATTTGGTTTCTGGATGATGGAATATAGCAATGTGAGGAACAGGAGGGAAGTGGGTCCACAGGACCTACTGAGGATCTGAAGCAAGACTTGGAGCCCACAGAGAGAGACTTCAAAGAAGAAGGAGGCAATAAGTGATGCCTTCCCACTGTGTGGAAGAGCGTCTCCAACCTGCAGACACACTGTGACTGTTAGTGACTCCAGAGGCCTCCACAAAGAAACATACCAGTGAAACAGAGCAGTGGATGTAGGGGACTGCATGGCTGGTGAGTTATTCAGGTCCAGACATCCCATAGGAGATGATGAGTGGCCAGTAGCTGTCTGGAGAGGGCCCAACTCAGTTCGGAACTCAAACGCTGCGGGCTGGCTCCATCAGGGTGAGGAGGAGCTGAGTTTGGGTAGGCAGGAGGTCAAGGAGCCAAGTTCAGGCCATCGGGGGCACACAGAGTGTTGCAAGCTGAACAAAATGGGTTCCAGCTTCACAGCGGGAAACTAGCCTGAGGCTGAGAACTAAAGCCTGAGGTTCAGGCTTGCTGGGATTATCCTCTACCCTGCTGTAAATCCACAGCTGCCTTGTTAGGTTTAATCAACATGGATCTGGGGTCTGTCTGCCCACTTTGTCTACCAGTGACAACAGAGATAGGCCTTGAAGTGGACTTTTTTTCCTCTTATTTTCTTCTTTTTTTATTTTCTTGTTTTTGTTTTGTTTTGTTCTTATTCTTAATGTAAGTGTGAACATTGTTTCTAGTTTTGTTGTTGTTGTTCTCTTCTATTCTTGTTTTCATTTCTTCATTCTGTCTTTCCTTCCTCATATCTTCACCAGTTTCCCAAAGTTTGTGTAATCTTCCTTTCTTCTCCAGCCTTGCTTCTAATTTCTTCTTCTTCTGTTTCTCTATTTTTCCCCAACCTCTTTTATATTTTCTCCCCTGAGGTTAAAAATCACCATATTGAGGGTGTATTTACTATATACAATTTTCTGGTTTGTTTCAGATTTTGTTATATAACCACAAATCTATTTCACAGGGTATAAGGTGGTAAATTAGTGCTTACCAAGTTTGTCCTTTTTCTAAGCTGTATTTGATGCTTTTATTGCTGATTGTGTAGCCAAGGAGACATATTGTCCTAATCACACCTCCTGGTGTGACAAGACTGAGATTGCCTAAGGGTCATAAGCAATACTATAGGCCAGTGCCAAAGAACCAGGGGCTAGGCCAAATAGACAGCAACTTCTCATCCCAAATAAATTAAAGAGGGGACTGGAGATGTAGCTCAGTAGCACTGTACCTGCCAGGCAAGTACAAATTCCTAAGTTTGATCCCCAGCACCAAAAAACAACAACAAACAATAAAAGGGTAAGATCTTGCAACAGACTCAACCCAAGATCTAGCTGCACGTAGAAGACATCTCTGAGAAATAGTAATTTCCTAGGGGTTGTGAATACTGGCAAGCTACTCACCATAAGCAATTTACAAGCAACCTTAGCCAACCTTATCCAAAATTGGAAAGAAAAGACTCAAATCCATGCAAGTAGGAATGAAAAAGGTGAAATCATGACAGATCCTATAGAAATCTAGAAGATTATCGATACCGATTTTGAGAATTTGTATTCTAATTGGATGGAAAACACAGAAGAAATGGACAGATTTCTAGATACATATGAATTCCCAAAGCTGAATCAAGAAGATATAAAAATTCTAAATAAACCAAATATTAGTCAGTGAAATTGAAGATATAATTAAGAGCTACCAACAGAAAAGCCCAGGCCCTGACGGATACACTGCTGACTTGTGCAAGACATTTAGAGAAGACCGACTGTGGCTACTTATCAAACTCTTTAATGAAACTGAAAGGGAAGCAATACTCACAAATTCATTTGTGGAAGTAAGCATCACCCTGATACCACACCAGAGAAGGATCCAACCAAAAACGAGAATTACAGGCTAATCTTCCTAAAGAACATAGAAGCAAAAATCCTCAATAAGATACTGGCAAAAAGCACGCAGCAACTCATCAAGAAGATTAGAGGAAAATGATGGCAATTAATATGAGATTAAAGATATCATTAAATATCAGTGATTCCATAATGATTTAAGTAACTAACTGACTGAATAAATAAATGGGAAAAAGGGACCAAGCCACCTTACAGAAGATATCCAGTTAGTAAAACGTACAAGGAATGAGGAGACTAGAACACCATCATTAGAGGCCCCCATGGTGGTGCACACCTGTAGTCTCAGCTACTCTGGAGGCTGAGGCAGGAAGATCACTGGAGCCCAAAAGTTTCAAGCCAGATTAGGGAACATATTGAGACCTTGTTTCAAAAAGAGAGAAAGAAGTAAAAAAAGAAAAAAGAGAGAAAGAAGTAAAGGAAGTAAAGAAATTAGGAAAGGAGAGGAGAGAGTAGGGGAGGGACAGGAGGGAAGGAGAAATGAGGGATGGGAGAGCAGGGGAAGAGAAAATGGAGGGGAGAGGAGAGAAAGACACTGTTAGGTAGGCAGATGGTAATAAAGGAAGTAGGCAATATCCATGCATGCTAAAATTAGTGTATGAAACTTTAAGGAGAAACAGGACTGTGTCTAGCCTCTTAAATTGCCTCTTCCAAAACATTAGTAATTGTTGAGAGATTTTAAGCATATACCCACCAATTGTTTGATATTTCTGTCATGGATCCCAATATGATCTGATTTTACCGCTCTTACATTGTCCCTCAAACCTACAGCTCAAGTTAATCTTTCTCTCTTCCTCCTTCTCTTTCTCCCTCCCTCCCTTGCTCTCTCTCTCTTTCCCTCTCCCTCTCCCCTGCCTTGTGTTTGTTTGTTTTGAGACAAGTTCTCACTGTACAGTTCAGGCTGGCCTTGAATTCATTTTGTAGCCCAGGCTGGCCTTGAACTCATGGTGATTCTCCTGCCTCAGCCTCCTGAATGATGGGATTACAGGCGTGAGCCATCACAGTGAGTGGCTCAAATTAATTTTGAGAGAACATCAAATGTTTTTCTTTTTTTGAGAACATTCTATAAAATACATGAACAGAGTATTTCCAAGGTGTCAAAGCATGAAAAATAAGGGAAAATACAAAAACTGTCACCAGTCACAGGACAGTAAGGATATATGACAGTGAAATGATGTCCTGGCTGAGATCTTGCACCAGAACAAGGATATCAGAGGGGGAAATGGTGAGACTGAAATTAAGTGCTGGGCCTGGTAGCACATGTCTTTAATCCCAGCCCTCATGAGGCTGAGGCAGGAGGATCACCATGAGTTGGAGGCCAGCCTGGTGTACCTAACAAGACCCTGTCTCAAAAACCAAAATGAATCAAAACAAATTTCCCTTGTGACTCTGCAT